GATTCAATTACTTACTAACAAACCTTTATATTATTGTAATTCTGTTGGTATGTTAATATCAAAGAGAATAAATTCCAAACAGAAAACTCCGGCCACAAAACATCTTGAAAACAGAGACAAGAATAAGAGCTCTATTAATAATAATAAATATATTAATTAATTGATTAATTAAAGATTACCTGCCATATAAGGAAGTCACTTAATCTCACTTCTCCTCATGTTCTAATGACAAGATCAGGTGGTGTACATGTACCAGTATAAAGACATCTCTCCATTAACTCTTCACTGATATCTCTATAATGTAAATACACGTACTTGTATAATGTATGTATAATACAAGTAGTAATATTGAATGTACATGTACTGTCCACTGGATTCACATACAAGCATACACTCATACAACCAGTCAACCAGTCACACTAAAATAAAACACAATAATCATATCATAACAATTTAAACCCAAATGTCAAACATGCAAGCAAAAAGACAGACATGCACATAACTTTTTTGGACATGTATCTTTACTTGCATGGGCTCTTTGATTACTTAAATTACTGACAGCATACACCCTGTAGGTGAACTTAGTGTACATTTGTGAGTATTATTTTATCAATGATTGCAAATAAAGCCACATCAAACTGTCAACATTGCCCTTGGATAATAGTGTAATATGTATTATGCTTTGATGTATGCTTCTTCCACATAGTATGCATAAGTGTGACAATTATTATGTCTGTGTATGTGTGAGTGTTAATTGTTACCAAAAGTAATTGACACACTCTTGCTGTTACATGCAAATGTATGTTGTAAACTTCAGTATGTCTGTCATTATAATCCCTGATCCAAGTGACCAGTTGTTTTATTTCGTTGCATTAATGGATGGGTAGAATAAGAATGAATGAATTATGTTTATGCTCTTTTATATCGTCTATTAGCTACAAATGAAGGCATTTTCACACTGGCACAGTTTTTAAAGTGCCTTGTTGATACCATATAGCAGGAAATTTTGGAAGGGATTAAATTTGGCGAATTTGGCATTTTGATATAGCCATTTGCCAGAATAAAAATCCACCATTTTGAGCCATTATATGCATGCTCAATGGCACATGGCCACGAATTCACCAATTTAAAATCGCCAATCATCAAAATTTGCAATTCACCAAATTTTAGCCCCTCCAAAATTTCCCACTATACAGTTCAATGCTTATTGATCTTGTTCACACTAGCAGCTGAATTATGTATCATTTTGTGTTTTTGTTGCCATTGGTTTACATTAATTGGTCCCACTAAAATTTAAAACCAATCTAGAGTTGACACAATAATTCTTAGGCTAATTAACATTCTGCCCATGTACGTTATAACATATAATGCTTTGTATGTACATATACTTACGTTGGTAGTACAGTACCATCATGAGATCCATCAACCAGTGACTGTATAGCATCAGTAATCTCATATCTTGATGCATAAGAGAAACACACATTAAGATATACCCTATAATAAAGGAATGGATACAATAAATACATGTATATTTACATACATGCACATGTACATGTATGCATCATTTATAATGTACATGTATTTATCATATTATTATTGAGTACTGTCCCCCTGTTCTTTGTAAGGATTCTTAATAGTGCTACCTACTATATCAAAGGGGAAAGGCCTGGCTACAGTATGTAGGGAAGACATTGTAATGATTGTATGGTCAGAGATTAAATGAACTAACTACATATACATGTACATGGAGATAGAAGAGCCACCAGCCCACTGTTATGTAGTACATACATTATGAGCATGTACTACATGATGTAGTTTAGTGGC